GCTCTCTTTCTTCTCTATTTCTTCTCCAATTCTCTCCTCTGGTTGCTCTTTTTCCGGCGAAAAAATCACTGTAAAACCCACCCACCCCACAATGGCTACAAATGATGTATCAAATGATTTACCCACTGTGATTCTTGGAAGTTGTCGATACAAAATGGAACTTCACATTATTTCCATAAAAAGTAATTCGACCTTAATGGAGATATATGGTGCTATTATCAACAAATGGAATCATATCCATCCAGATGCACTGATCCTCCAATACTTGGCTCCTCGGGAAAGATTGTATGTGACATTGGGCAGTGATGAAGATGTGGAGAATATGGTTGCATTGCATCTGATAATGAAGATGAGTGTGGTCGACATTGTCGTGATCCGCAAAGATGAAGCTAATTCGCGTGGAAAGAGGGTTCGCACCGATGGCTGGTAGGTCTCCATCTTTTTGTGTACTGCTGAAATGCATTTCTTTATGGTTGTTAATTATTGTGTGATACATAGTATAAAATATGGCACATAATAGTATCATGCTAATATAAATATGGTATGGACGTATGGTACTTACAGTACGTAACCTTCATCTGAGTAGTTAGGTGATAGGTAAATTTGGTACTGCTGGTTGGAAAACATAGTATCATATAATGAGGAAAATAGTACGTTACCTTCATCTGAATAGTATGGGTGATAGGTAAATTTGGTACTGTTGGTGGGAAAACATAGTATCATATAATGGGGAAGATAGTACGTAACCTTCATCTGAATAGTATGGGTGATAGGTAAACTTGGTACTATTTGTGGGAAAACTTAGTATTATATAATGGAGAAGATAGTATGGAACCAGTGCATTGTTATGATATTTTCATGTACATTGTTATTTGGATTCCACTTTATTGTAATACATTTTTATAATTTTTTTTAAACCAAAAGCGGCGATCAATCGATGGAAATCGAGGGTAATCCGCTTGGAAATTCAATTGATGCATGGAGACATTGCATCCGTGGGGAGAATCAGTTTTTTAAAGATCCTGATGATTTTCGGCATATGCTGAAAAACTATTCTATTGCTAATAATCGATCATTTAAGTACATGAAAAATGATCAACAAAAGATCATAGCAGTATGCATTGACGAAAACTGCAAATAGAGGGTCTATGCATCATTGTACAAGTCGGATAAGTTATTTAGCATTCGCAAGTGCAATCTTGAGCACACTTGTGGTGATGCTACTCTTCGTACAAGGGGTCATCCTAAAGCCGATGTTACATGGATTGCTCAAATTATGAAACGAAAATTGAGAACGCAGCCAGCTTACACACCATGTGGTATGTTAGAAGATATCCGAGACGATTATGGTCTGGAGCTTCAGTACTACACAGCATGGTGGGGTAAAGAAAAAGCAATGCGTGATATCCATGGTGATGAGACGACATGTTATGATAAACTGAGACGCTATTGTCGTGCATTAAAAATGCATAACCCCGGTAGCATGGCAGAGTATGAGATTGAACCTGCTACTCAAAAGTTTATTCGAATATTTATTAGTTTTGGGAGTTCTATTTCCGGCTTTCATCGGTGTAGGCCGATGATATGTTTGGATGGGACTCACATTAAAAATAAGTACAAATGATGCTTGCTTTCTGCTGTGTGCAAGGATCCAAATGATTCCTTATATACATTGGCATACGCAGTTGTTGATGCTGAGAATGATAAAAATTGGGAGTGGTTTTGCATTAAACTGAAACAAATTCTAGATCTTCACAATGACAATAGATCTTTTACCATTTTCTCTGATCGTCATTCGGGGCTTCTTAAAGCCGTCCCGTTGGTATTTCCTAGTAGCCACCATGCATATTGTTTGCGACACTTGGTGGATAACTTTAGAACTCAGGTATTTTGATTCTCTTTAATATGCAAATTGGAACGTACCATTTGTCACCTCATGTCATACTTTTGTATAACATGTTTCATACTTTTGTATAACATGTTTCATACATTTGTATAGCATGTTTCATACATTTGTATAACATGTTTCAAAATAATATAGGTCCTGAGGAAGTACCCATTGCACAACAAGTCATATTGGGCGAGTGTTTTACATAATGCTGCATATGCTCCTACTCGGCAGGAGTTCGATGCAACTATTTCTCGTATAGTGCAATCTATGCCTCTCGCGGCATCATTTATTTCGAATTCTGATCCAAATCATTGGGCCAATGCCTATTTTTCTGGAGAAAGATGGGGAATCGTGAACAATAATCAGGCAGAAAATTGGAATGGTTGGGTTAAAGATGCCCGATCTTTGCCTGTTCCATCCATGATTGATCACATACGGATCAAAATAATGGAGATGCTCGTTAAACGACAAGAAAAAAGTTTGGCAATGACTGGCATATTGTGCAAGAAAATTCTAAAGAGATTAACAATCAATCATATGGCCTCTCGTTCCTTAAAATATTGTAGATCAAGTAGTACCGCTTTTGAGGTATATGATGAGGACAAGTCGTATAAGGTTGACTTGCAGTACAAGACTTGTTCTTGTAAAGCATGGCATTTAGAAAAACTTCCATGCAAACATGCATGTGCATGTTTGGAGTCAAAAGGATACTCAGTATATGAGTTTGTTGATCCATGCTTTCATATTGATACGTACAAACAGGTATATCAATTCACGATTAACCCAATTCCCTCGTTTGATGAGGACTTTGACTTGTACGATGCGTGTAATGCTCCGCCCGATGTCTTTGTTAATGCACCTGATTCGAGAACTCGACCGGGACGTAGAAAGACAAAAAGAATTCCTTCACAAGTGCAAACTCGTAAACTGAAGTGTACTCGTTGTTAGGGGTGTAAACGAGCCGAGCTCGAGCCGAGCTCGCCTCTTTTGGCTGGCTCGAGCTCGAGCTCGAGTTTATTTTGTCTAGCTCGAGCTCGAGCTCGAGCTCGAGCTCGCGAGCTCCTCTTTTTTTGGCTCGAGCTCGAGCTCGTGTCAGTTGTGTCGAGCTCGAGCTCGAGCTCGAGCCCATTGTCTTTTTTTTTTTTTTAAATATTTTTTTAATTATTATTTTATTATTAAAAATTATTTAAAAAAATAAAAAATAAAAACTAAATTGTAATTATATATATTTTTAATATTTGTATTTATTTCTATAATATTTTACATTATTATACATTATTTAATAAAAATAACATATAAAAAATAAATAAAAATAATAAAAAAATAATAATAAATCCGGCTCGCGAGCCGGCTCGCGAGCTCATGAACAACTGAAAAGCGGCTCGAGCTCGGCTCATCAGAAAGCTCGAGCTCGCGAGCTCGAGCTCGAGCTCGAAAATCTCGAGTTCGAGTTCGAGCTTTTTACGAGCCGGCTCTTCGAGCTCACGAGTCGGCTCGGCTCGTTTACACCCCTACTCGTTGTGGGAAGCCTGTACACAATCGTCGTACTTGCACACAACCAATCTGACTAGCAATTTTTTTTTAATGTAAATACTGTCTGCATTTGTGTTACTTAAACTAACTAGTTTTGTTTTAATTTCTAATGTAAATTTTATGTTTTTCATCAGGGAGGACAAGATGGAGGAGAGCTTACATGATTGCCCATTATGTTATTCAAGTGATTGAAGTGAATGAAAACTGGCTGTTTGTACTTTATTATTATGTGATTTGTACTATGTTGATTTGAACTTTGTACTATGTTTCAATTTGCACTATGTTTTTGCTATTTGTAGTTTGTACTATGTATTAGGTACTCTGTTCATTGATGGTTTATCATTTTCAGTCTAATGGTACTATTTTTATTTACACATGGTATTATCTATGAGATAGGATGGTATGACTTACTCAATTTATGACCGTTACAATATAGCCGTTGCTTATAATATAGCCGTTGCTTATTGTCAGAACTAGTCAAGTCATAATATGACCATAAATGACACATAGGCTCATTTGTTTCTAATTCATGGCTTCTTCGAGTAGCACCACTCAAATGAGTGGGTTGAAATACAAAAAAGGGAAATGCAAGCGTCTTGATTGTGGGAAGAAAACAATAATCATGGTTTCAGAAACTATTTCGAATCCCGGAAGGTTATTTTTCTGTTGCCCACACCATGGCTACTCCCATTGGTGTGAACCATTTGAAGTTGGGAAAACTTTTTCCAACTCAAATCGTGAAGAAAATGAAGCTACAAGTGCGTCGATGAACCAAGTCCATCAAGAAAGTGAAGTGAAGAATTGCAATTCTGAAGGTGGAGTAGTTCATAGTTTGATAGTATTGAATCTAGTAATATTTGCAGTCTACATGCTATGTAAAACCTATGTACTGTTGTTTAATTAGTGAACATAAGAGTACAATGTATAAGCTGGTAAAGTTCGGGTTATTCGTGACTATAGTACGCTTTGTTCACCAATTAAGTATAATGTATAAGCCGGTAAAGTACAAGTGAGTAGTCACTATAGTACGATTTGTTCACTGATAAAGTATATGTTTGCCATTCATATAGTATTTTTACACTCTATATATTATTGTCGGGCCAATGCATCCATATGATCGCATTTTAAGACACAACTCTTCAGTTTTAGACTATTAAGAATGAATGGAGACAATGTGGGAGTCGATCAACATCGACTATGGTAAGAATTGAGGAAAGTATTAGTTTTACACTCATTGTAGACTTGTATGAATATATTGTATAGTATATGAGTATCATGTATGAAATTCAACATATTTATGGGATGTTGTATTCCAAACGCAACAATAATGCTCACCTACCTTAAAATAATCATTTAAAACATAATTTATGCAACTCCCGTACTTATTGATCATTAAAACGTCGATGAAATTGGTACAATTCAATTCATCAAAAAATATAGTACGCTTTGTTCACCAATTAAGTATAATGTATAAGCTGGTAAAGTACAAGTGAGTCGTCACTATAGTACGATTTGTTCACTGATAAAGTATATGTTTGCCATTCATATAGTATTTTTACACTCTATATATTATTGTCGGGCCAATGCATCCATATGATCGCATTTTAAGACACAACTCTTCAGTTTAAGACTATTAAGAATGAATGGAGACAATGTGGGAGTCGATCAACATCGACTATGGTAAGAATTGAGGAAAGTATTAGTTTTACACTTGAGCATTGTAGACTTGTATGAATATATTGTATAGTATATGAGTATCATGTATGAAATTCAACATATTTATGGGATCTTGTATTCCAAACACAACAATAATGCTCACCTACCTTAAAATAATCATTTAAAACATAATTTATGCAACTCCCGTACTTATTGATCATTAAAACGTCGATGAAATTGGTACAATTCAATTCATCAAAAAATATAGTACGCTTTGTTCACCAATTAAGTATAATGTATAAGCCGGTAAAGTACAAGTGAGTCGTCACTATAGTACGATTTGTTCACTGATAAAGTATATGTTTGCCATTCATATAGTATTTTTACACTCTATATATTATTGTCGGGCCAATGCATCCATATGATCGCATTTTAAGACACAACTCTTCAGTTTAAGACTATTAAGAATGAATGGAGACAATGTATGACTATATTGTATAGTATATGTGTATCATGTATGAAATTCAACATATTTATGGGATCTTGTTAATATTGTAAAAATACTCCATTCAGTTATAATAGACTTTGAGTTACCACGCGAACTTATGTGTTCGACATTCATATATATTTAACATTCAACATTAAATACTTAATTCTATCAAACGGAGCCTTAAATAAAAAAAGGTGGGGCAAATATACTTAAAAAAATATTATTTACTCTCCAATAACTTATATTTTGAATTTATAAGATATTTTTTAAAAAATAATTACCAAACAATGTGAAGGTGTTTGTAAGCTCGTAAACATCTTAATTATCTTGAGTTAAGGTCAAATTTCGAAAACCCCCTAAGTTTGAGTAACTGCAGCAACCCTTTAACTATGAATCTTCTTACACGTCCACCCTTATAGTGTTAAATGCATCACAATCTTCTATATTCCGTGAAATGTTCTCTAGTTTGTACCCGTTTTGTGAAAAAAATACAGTTTATGATGCACCATGATATGATATTTACAAGCCAAGAGACATATGTTATAATCATCTTGTTTCGAAAGGGTACAAACTGGAGATTATTCCAAAAGATTTAGAAGATTTCACTTAATTTGACACCGCAACGGTGGACGTGTAAAAAGATTCATAGTTGGATGGGGTGATTATAATTACCCAAACATAAGGGGGATTTTCGTAATTTAACCTTACATCAAGGGGCGATCGTAATTTTACCATATATATATACACATATATATTATATATATATATATATAAAAGATCAAAAATTTATGGGCCCATTGCCCAAAAAGCAGATATCCGGCCCAAATCTTCATCCTCTCTAGTTTACCCCTCCCCTGCCAATTTGCTAAAACCCTGATTCTTCATCTGAAAAGGGTCTTCGGTTGTGGTTCTCGGACCTCAAAACCCAGACCCGTTAACCCGTTTACCCGCCAACCCGAAAACCATATTCCTCTCTTCTCTCTCTTCGTGGCCGCTTCTATTCCTCTAACCAAAAACCTTTACCGAATTTCATGGCGTCGCCGTCACCGTTTCTTTTCCCATCCAAACCCCCTCCTTTCTCTCTCTAGCACCCCCATTCCACACACACACACACACACATTCGAATATCTTGCAAACCACGTCTACAAAAAAAAATTATATGGACATGAGAAGATTGGCAGCAGCAGCAGCTCACAAATCCTCCTCCTCCGCCGCCGCCACCGCCGCGATATTCTTCCTTCCGATCAGACGCCCGTTGACCGTCTCACCTCACCCAATACACAAACCTAAAACCCCCAAAAAACCCTCACCGCAACCGAATCTCGAGGCGGCGCCACCTGATTCATCGGCAGCATTGGATCAGACTCTCCGTTACAGGAAAAGCTTAGCTTCCGTTCTGTCCGGCTCAAATTTCAATTCAAATCAGTGCAAAGAGTTGATTTCCCAAATTTCTCCCCGTCAATTTGATTCCATATTTTGGGAAATCCATAATAATATCGAGCCTTCAACCGCATTGAAGTTATTCTACTTCGCCGGCGATTATTGCTCATTCAGTTTCACGCTTAGATCCTATTGCATTTTATTCCACTTGTTAGTTTCGAAGAATCTCGATTCTGCAGCTCGGTTGCTCTTGATTAGATTAATTGATCGGAAGTTGCCCGTGAGTTTGAGGGACAATGTCGTAAATCTGCACAATGAGATCGCCATTGTTTTGGCAGACACATTTTCTGGCTCGGAGAAATTTAGGAGTGGGAATAGAGGGTTTGATATGTTGGTTCATGTTTACGCCACCGAGTTTAAAAGTCTCGGATTGGATGCTGCAATGGATGTGTTTAGGCTCTTAGCTGGTCGAAGGTTAGTTCCGTCTTTCAAGACTTGCAACTTTTTAATGAGCACGCTTGTGAAGGCGGACGAACACGAGAAAAGCTACGAGATTTTTCTTATTGTCTCGAGGGAATCTTTGCCGGATGTTTACTTATACAGTACAGCGATAAACGCGTTGTGCAAAGGGGGCAAGGTTGATGAAGCTGCGATGTTGTTTAAGGTAATGGGGAATTCGGGTGTTGCTCCAAATGTTGTTACTTATAATAACCTTATGAATGGACTTTGCAAGAAAGGAAGTTTCGAAGAGGCTTTTCGCCTTAAGGAGAGAATGTTGGATAATGGGGTGAAACCGACTCTTGTAACATATAGCTTGCTGATTAATGGTTTGATGAAGCTAGATAGATACGACAAAGCTGATTGTGTTTTGAAGGAGATGTTGAAGAAGGGTTTTATACCGAATGTTGTTGTTTATAATACATTGATCGACGGGTACTGCAGGATGATGAATGTGGCAGCTGCTTTGAAGCTAAAAGATGGAATGTTATTAAAAGGTGTTGTTCCGAATTCAGTTACTTATAATACTCTTATTAACGGACTGTGCAAGGACGATCGAATTGATTTAGCCGAGAAGTTCTTGAATGAGATGGTGAAAGGAAGTTTTAGTATAAATTTAGGTTCTATGAATTCCGTTATTCACGGTCTATGCAAAAATTCAAGATTCGATTCAGCGTTGAGATTCATTGTCTTAATGCTCGGTAAGAACTTAAGGCCTAACAATGGGTTGCTCACGACTCTGATAAGTGGGCTTTGTCGAAGCAATAATCATTTACAAGCCCTTAAGCTACATAATATGCTACATGGTAAAGGATTTGCTGTTAATATAGTCACCTCAAATGCTCTTGTTTTCGGACTTTGTGAAGTGGGTAAAATGCACGAGGCGAGATTGCTTCTCGAGGGAATGCTGGAAAGGGGTGTTCGATTGGATACTTTTACTTACAATGCACTCATATACGGATGTTGCAAAGAGGGCAAAATCGAGGTTGGATTTAAGCTCAAGGAAGAAATGTCCGACAAAGGTATTTCACCGGATATCGTGACTTACAACCTGCTGATAAACGGCTTGTGCGAGAAGGGTAAAATGGACGAAGCTCTGTTTCTTTGGCACGAGTGCCAAAGTAACGGTCTTGTTCTTGATATTCGCTCGTATGGGGTTATGATAGGTGGGTTTTGCACTTCAGAGAAAGTCGAAGAAGCTAGGAATTTCTTTAATATTTTGCTCGGAAAAAATATTTCGCCTAATTCTGTTGTGTATAACATACTCATTCGAGCGTACTTTAGTATTGGAAATGAGGTGGAGGCTCTTAAACTTTTTGATGACATGAAAAACAGAGGCGTCAAACCTACTCTTGCCACTTATTCTTCCCTTATACATGGATTGAGTAATGCGGGCCGATTAAACGACTCGAAAGTTTTGTTTGATGAAATGAGAAAAGAGGGTTTAATGCCTGATGTTGTGTGTTACACTGCTCTGATAGGTGGCTACTGCAAATTAGGCCACATGGATGAAGCGAGGAATTTATTACAGGAAATGTCTTTGTTTAATGTTAAGGCGAACAAGATAACATTTACGGTTATAATCCATGGGTACTGCAAGATGGGGAACACGAAAGAGGCGTATGAGATTCTTGAGGAAATGATAAACAAGGGAATTAGTCCTGATTCGGTGACTTATAATGTATTGACGCACGGGTTTTGTAAGGAAGTGGAAGTGGGAGACGCGTTTAATCTGTTGGATCAAATGTCGGATAATGGAATACAGTTAGATGATGTTGCGCATACTTCATTGGTTCACTGGATGTCCCAGCAATCGAAGACGTAAAACGACTAACTCTTGTGTGGTGAGCAACAATTTATTTTGAGAAAATAATAGATATCGCTGGTAATGCCGTGTTTGCAATTTGAGTTAAGTGTTTTCTTAATTGTTTGTTAGGATTTGGCATTTGTTACGTCTGTCAGCTTTGTTGGGGGAGAACATATGCAGCTTTTGCTGAAGTTCTTGATCATCCAATTGTAAGTAATCATCTGCAGATTGATTCTTGAATTTGCCAACGACTAATACTTATTTTACGAATGTATTTGGATTTGAATAAATGTTTCGTCACTATATAGGCAATATTCTACTAAATATTCGATAGTTAGAATAGAAGATTTAGTTAGTGGTCGTAACCATGCCTGGAAGAAGCAAAGGGTAATTGAGATTTAATTGGCGATTTTGTGTTGAAACACAAGGTTTTGTAATCGGGATTACTTATCGAGACTTTCAAGAATGGGATTAAAGATTAGGTGATTATTTGAGTAAATGACATTTCTATTTTTACGGGTATAAAATTTGTAGGAAATCAACTGTATTCTGCGACGGGAAATTCCATTTACTTTTAGAGGTTTTACTTATTTGTTGTTTATAAAATATGATAAGTAGACTGAGTTGGAGAGTTCTGCTTTATAACCTTATGCACTATAAAGAATTTCACGACTCCGATTCGAGTTTTTGCTATTTGGGGGCATGCCCCTTAACTCAAATAAATCAGCTAATCGGTTTAACTATTCATTTAGATGGATGAGATTGAATCTCTGAATATGATTTTGTTCTGATATTTTCTACTCATTGCAATTTCTGCAGATAAAATAGTCTTCTGAGGACAGTATATTCTTGACGTGTTCAGCCACCAGGAATATTCTACCGGAAGATACCACAAGGGCGGGCCCACCAAGACCAAGAACATTCTTCGATAGCTTTAATCCTGGTCTGTGGCACTCTACCCAATCAATCAGATTCCTAACATGTTCTTCATAACCTACCGTATAAATTTCTCGATTAATCATATCTGCTATTGACCCTTGTTTTAAATCCCTTCAAAACTCCCCAAAAACAAGAGATAACACATTACCTATGTAATTAGACATAGAATCTTGATTTTTGAATAATCTTGTTTAGGGGTGGAAATTGGAATGGAATTTCCGATTTCCACCGATTTCGAACTTAAATTTTTCCAATTTTGGAACAATATTTTCTTCTATTCCGAATTCCAAAAAATTCCTATTTCGATCTTTCTGATTATTTTTTGTATTGGAATTGGAATGCATATGGGATTCCAATTTCCTATCCGATTTCAATTTCAGAAAATAATTCCGAAATTCCCATATTTTTCCGAAAATTACATTTATAATATCGAAATAGTATGTATTTTACATTTCAGGTTACTAAAAATTGGAATTTTCCGAATTCCGTCGATTCTGATCCAAAAATTTCCGATTTTGGAACAAGTTTTTTCATTCCAATTTCTGAAGCTCCAATTTCCGATTTCTTATGGAACAAAATCAGAATTGTTTTTTCACTTCCGAAAAAAATCGGATTTTTTTCGAAAATGCTAATTCCGATCCAATCCGTCGGATTTCAACCCCTAATCTTGTTCTTCCATCAACTAACTACCCCATCTTGCAATAAACATGATTTTCATTGATTGCATTTGCCATAACTTTCCAAAGATAAGCCGGAAAAGCCTCGATTTTGGTTCTTTTATTATCGTTGTTAGCTCTTGCGAGTTCTTGCAATCTATCAAATGCTTGATTCTTCTATGTAATGAAGCCGCTTGATCAATTTGCTTATTGTGGGCATGTTTCGTATGTACTCCATTGTGTAGGAGATGAAAGATTCATCCAAAGACGATGGATCAATAGGACAAGAACGGGCCCGGAAGGTTCTAGAAGTTCCGGAGAACACAATATCGGTTTTCCCATAGCTATTTCGGACCAAGTTACGAGAAACTTGCACAAGCCAGTTGTATGTAATTTTGTGATCTGGATTTGTACAGGAAGTTGTTGGTCAAATTGAGACAAGCTTATTTCTTGAAGGGAGTGATTGAGATTGCAAAATCTCGGGTTTTCGAGATTTTGCATTTTCGGAAAATTTACCCACGAAAGGGTAGAAATGTCCGAGGCATTGTGCGAGGGAGTTCAAATTTCAAGAAACTCGAATTCGGTACATAAGTCTTTTTCTTGAACTAATATTTTTCCCCCCATAGTGCAAGTGGGATTTTTGAATCGAATATCCCCATAATAGAATGGAAATAGCATAAGATGCTCTCATATTAGAAGAATTATTTATTTATTTATTTATTTTTATGTTTTAAAGGTAACGAATCTGTGTTCATAAATAATGAATTTGTCTGATTTTACCTTCTTACATGACATGTCAGAGCTTGTATTGATTGATGATGTTATTCATGGTGATAGACAAAAGTTTATTATTGAAATGTTCGCAATTTTATCTTCCGAATTCCGCCGTATTCAGATCTGAAATTTTCCGATTTTGAAACAAGTTTTTCGTTAAGATTTCTGAAATTGCAATTTCCATTTCTTTTTCGATTTTGTTGGAACATAATAATTGAAACTACAGCGAAATTTCGATAAATTAATACTCAATAATTTAATTACCTCGCTAAATAATATTTTTTCCGATCCCGATTTATATAAAAGTACTAAATTTAGTTCGATAATTAATTAATAGAATTTTTATGGTCCTTAATCTATTAATTTACAAAGGTTCAACTTATTCACTTTAAAAAAGAAAAATCGTAATTTTTTTAACGGCCGAACTCCGATCTCATCCGTTCGATGTACACGTATGCATGGACGTGACACGTGGCGCCTCCTCCGACTCCCACCGCCATGCCACCGCCCTCTCACCCGCTCCCTTATAATCATATTCTTGGAATCAAAATCTTCAACATATTATCTATCCTAAAGAATCAAAGCAACTAATAATTATTAAGCAAATAAAAGAAAAACCAAATTAAAGAATCGGAATATGCATTCGGCAAAGCAGAGAGCGGCGGACGCCGCCGCCGTGGCCAAGGAGCACGCCGAAATCTTCAAGGCCCAAGCTGAAGAAAAGGTAAAAATTACAATCTCAATCAAAACTAGTAATTTATTATTTGGTTGTTAATTAGCAAAATCAATTTTTTTTGGGAAATTAAATTGAATTAAATTTGTAGGCGGAGAAAGCTGTGGCGAGAACCAAGGAGGAGAGAGAGATAGCTCATGAGATAAGGAAAGCTAAAGAAGCTGAAGCGAAGATGAAGATGCACGAATCCAAAGCCCAACACGCCGAGGAGAAGCTGCTCGGAAAACACCACGTCGTCGGCGGCGGCCTTCACGGCCACCACGAACCGGTCGGTGCCGCTTTCCCGCCGACGGGTGTGGCGACTCCTGCTTATCCCCTCGGCGGTGGCCCTACTCACTGGACAACACCCAAGTGAAATACTAGATTGCTTGTGGTTTGCGTGTTTTGTATTTGATAGTTGAGGTTTTATGTAAATCAGTTCAGATTATCTTTTCCTCTTGTAATTGGAGTATAATCAAAATAATAAAATTTTTTAATATTATTTCAATAGGAGAAAGTATTGACAAGAATTTATTGAAAGTCTTAACATAAGTTTTAACATATTTGTGAATTATGTAAATTGCAAGGATCGAACCGTAAGATCTAATGTAATCTACTTTTTCTCTAGGAATTATTATTATTATTATTATTATTATTATTATTATTATTATTATTATTAAACTACAACATCGTGGATCGCAAATTAAAATCGGAATGCGTCTTCATCTTGTGCATTCCACGACCGTGTCTAACCCACAATCGCAATCGCCGTGATATTCTCTGATTAGTATAAATGGCGCAAAGTGAGACCAATCTCCGGTCGGAGTCGAACCGTCTCTAGCAGACAATTGTTGTGATATTCTCCGATTAGTATAAATGGTGCAAAGTGAGACCAATCTACGGTCGGAATGGAGTTTCGACGAGATGAACACGTGGTTGAAGAATATCGAATGGAAGTTTATTATATTTCTTTGTTATGTAGAGAGTATATACGAACTTTTCTATAGAAAAGTTCATACAACTGAATCCTACATAGACAATAAGCATAGAAAAGTTCATACAACTGAATCCTACATAGACAATAAGCAGATTTGTATCAAATTTAGAATGAGCGTGATAAGATTGATATTTCTGCATATCATTCTAGGTGATTCAAAATTAATTTTTCTTCTTTGTTCTAATGTAATTTGGAGCATTTTGTTTATAAGTTTGTTTCTTTACAATTCTACTATATTATTTATACCAATCCATCTCATTAACGTGGTGATTGATTTAAACATGTGATTGCCGCTGAATTTTTAGAGCATTCCATAAAAAAATTAGTTACATTCTAGATGATATTTACTACGAAACCTTTTTTTAGCAAAAACCCGTCAATTTGGTAACTTCTTAAAAACTACAGTGACAACTTCGTTGATATAAAATGGAGTGAATTGCAAAAGCTACATATGTGTAATCTTCAATTGCTACAAAAGTTCACATGTTATAAAAAGTAGCAAAAAACCTTCTATATAATTTCTTTATTAGCTCACCGCACTTATTGTTATTTTAGTCATTGACCAGAAATGTAAAGACAAATATACCCTTTAATTAATAACATAAAATTACTGATAACTTCTAGAAATTGTATTCACAATACTACTCTTCTTTGTGATAATACCTAGAAATTATATTCACAATACTAGCCTTGTGTCAATTAGCATAATTTGTTTCAATTATTCATTTTCTCTTTCTTTCCATAACAACAATTTAATTCCTAAAAATATGCTTTCAAATTCCTAAAAATATGCTATCAAATAAAAAAAATATTATATATATATATATATATATATATATATATATATATATATATATATATATATTTCAAATTTATTTTAGATTTTGTTTTTTTTTTAATATTTTTTAATAAAAATATTTTTTAAAACAAAAAATTGAAATTTTTACATCGACTTGTTTACTACGCCGAATATGACTATAGTTGAATGTTTACTACGCCGAATATGACTATAGTTGAATATGACTATATCAACTGTAGTCATATTTTTCCTTTATATTGCAGTTTTTTATATTTTCATGGCGGCGGATACGCAAGCCCATTTTCTTATTAGTTCAAACCCACATAAAGAGGTTTATTAGTTCAAGTCCGTAAATTAATCTAATTTTATTACATCAAGACCAAAGAGGACGAATATGCCCTTATCAACAAATAATACCAAAATGCAAACTAATCCTATTTTTTAATTTGTTCAAGACAAAAAAAAAAAAAAAAAAAACTCACGAATGCTGCAACGAGACAGTCGCGACGACCAGTGATACTTCCACTACGGCGGCACCACACGCATCATCACCGCACCACCACCAACAAGTAAGTTCTTTTTACTAAACTTTTGTTTGTAAATTCGAAAACATTAATCGAGCATCGATTCTTGATAAATATGCGTGGATGAACATTAACCTATGCTTACTTCTTGTTGGGTTGCAATGCTTTAGCCGATTTTGGAAAAAAAATTGAGATTGAAATTGATCTTTTTTTTGTGTATTCGTTGGTTTCGCAAATCGGTTTACCCAGACCGATTTTGTACACAAAAATTGGCATCATAATGCCGATTTTTGTTAACCAAATCGGAGAGACAACGTTGAATTTACAAGTCAAAATCGGCGTTGTAACGCCGATTTTTTTTTCTTCATGTTTTGTGTTTTTTATTTGGTTTTGAATTTCATTAAGGGTAAATTAGTATTTTTATGTTGGAGGTCTTGAACTAATAAAAAAATGGGCTTGCATATATCCGCCGCCTATTTTCAATTTAAAAATTCCGATTTTATAGTATGGTACAGTCATGTTTACCAAATTATAATAAAATGAAGAAGATTGCCTATTGTTTACGAAAACAATCCAATCAACATACAAACAAAAAATCACAATTTGAATGTTGTTATTACAAATCAACTTGAAACGAAAATATAGATCTAGAAAAAAATAAAAAAAAAAACCAGAATATCGAACTTAATTTACAATGTGATCGGATAAAACAAAGTTTAATTCTTCTGTATGATAAAACGAGAAGTTTAGCTACCTATTCGTTGGTTGTACTATGGAGGCCCTCCCATTCTTTGTGAAAAAAACTCGTATTGGTTTGCATCTTCTTGAGAATTGATCGGAACCACTCTTCCTCATCATCATATACTCTGATATTCATGATTCGCTTAACAAACAAGAAATTAATAAATTACTAATCAAGTGAATCATCAGTAGTCATATTCGAACTAGACTATAGTCACGTTAGTGCTGCTGCTTCAGATCGGGAGAGAAAAAAAAAAAGAAAAAAAAATCAAAAATAATGAAAGGGATGGAGGGGGAGGCGACGACAACGACGGTGAATGAAAGAGAGAGCGAGGGAGGCGGCTACGGTGGTGGACAGATCTGGAAAAAAAAAACTATGAGATCGAGAAAGATAATAAAAAAAGAGAATCTCCATGCGCATCCGACGAAGGGCGGCGACGAGGTGGGGAAGGCGCCGCCGCCACCACTTGTACCAGGCGTCGATGTGGTGGTGTTGGACGAGGGTGGAGACGATCTCCAACATCGACGGAGGAGGGCCTCCTACGTCGGGTCTTGGCCAGCCGACGGTTGAAGATATTATTGGTTCTGGCGGTGACGAGTGCATGAACAACGGTGACTTGGGTGGGTGGACTATGATGGTGGTGTGAAAAAGAGGAAGGATGGCGACGGTGGGGTGGCTACAGATCTGTAGAAAAAAATGGAGAAAAAAAAGGAAAGAAATTGAGAAAGAGAAAGGGAGAGAGAGAAGAGTGATAAATAAAATTAAAAACCTAACTTATAGGGTCACTTTAGTCATATCATATATGGTAAGGGGGTCTCACTAATTTAGATTTGGAATTAAGTTATGAGAATTTTTTTTAAAGTCAATTGAGTTTAATTCAAAATATTTTCTAAATGAGGGATTATTGCGTATTACCCTTTTTTGACTATTGAATAATATAAATAGTAAGGATCGGTAGATCGTAAGATCTAATATAATCATATATTTTTTATGGAAATTATTATTATTATTATTATTATTATTATTATTATTATTATTATTATTATTATTATTATTATTATTATTATTATTATTCAATTTCTTTTTTCCATTAAACTACAACATCTTAGATTGCAAATTAAAATCGGAATACACGGTTCCACCATCTCTAGCAGACTCTCGTCGTGATATTCTCTGATTAGTACAAATCGCACAAAGTGAGACCGATTTACGGTCGGAATGGAGTTGCGACGAGATGAACGCGGTTGAAGAACATCCAATGAATTAGTTCTCCCGAATTTGCTTAAATTGAATTCCAGAAGGTGAGTTCAGCCTCATACGTCAATTTGGAGTTAATTGTATCCAACTCAATATTGAATAATAAGTTTATTATATTTATTTGGTATGGAGGAGAGTATATACAAACTTTTCTATAGAAAAGTTCATACAACTGAATCCTACGTACACGGTAAGCAAACTTCTATGAAATTCAAAATCAGCGAAAGTGCGACTTTTGCTAAGATCGATATTTCTGCATATTATTATGAGTGACTCAGAATTAATTTTTTTCTTTGTTCTAATGTAATTTGGAGCATTTTGTTTATAAGTTTGTTTCTTTGCAATTCTACTATATTATTTATACCAATCCATCTCATTAACTGATGTGGTGATTGATTTAAACATATGATTGCCACTGAATTTATAGAGCATTCCATAAAAAAATTAGTTATTCTCTAGATGATATTTACTACAAAGCCTTTCTTTAGCCGAACACCGTCAATTTTGTAACTTCTTAGAAACTCTTGTGACAACTTCGATGATATAAAATGAAACATAATATGCAACACATACCCCGAGATATATATATATATGCTTCTACGTACTGCTTAGACTATGGAGCTAGACAGGAATCACCGGAACAGAGAAATATGGATCGACCACCACCACCATTTGATGCTCGATTTTCCTGTCCCGGGCTGGGCCGCGGTTATGAATCGGTATCGGCCCGTTGAAAGCTTTAGCCCTTCTCCACAAGTAACATATAGCATCAGAAAACTTCCATAATATTATTTTACGAGCACGAACATCAATTTCCTTGTAATAAGCATATTTTCCTCGTGTTTTCTTCTCTTGGAACCTACGCTTCAATTCCGGGCTTTCTTGGCCCGATATTTTACTAATCGAGCGTTTTTTCTTCAATCCCATGCAAACTGTATATGTGTGTCAAAGAATATAAATATATAAAAAAAAAATGATTAATTAATTACTTACCTTCTAGAAGTAGAATTTTGTATGAAGGTGAAAATGGTTGAAAGGGAGTGGTAGGAAAAAGAAAACAAGCTTAGAGTTTGGAGTTGTGGTGTGGGTTTGAGATCTTTCCTTAGGGGGGTTTTATATAGAAACCAAAACCCGAAACCGAAAACTGAAACCGAACCGAATTGAAATCGAAATAATCACGAAAATTCAC